CTGGTGGGGTGTAGTGGGGTGGTGGGGTGTAGGTGGCTGGTGGGGTGTAGTGGAGTATAGGTGGCTGGTGGGGTGTAGTAGGCCATGGGTTTGGTAAAAGTAACGTTTGACCCACACGGTGGAGGTCAGGAAGGTTGTATTTCAACATTTCTTGTTCCGGTATAACATAGCTGTGACCCCGGGTGTTGCTCACTAAGTCAGATACCTTAAAATATGGAAGGGGGGGATACTTTTACACTGTCAAAAACTTAACTCACGAAATCCCATGGTGATACATTCAAAATCTTAACTCACTCAGTCCCAAGGTGACGGTTAAAAACTAAAATGGTGTCTCGTTTCTTTAGTTCATTTGTGTGTACAGCCTTTGCTGATAGCATCCAATCTTTTTCTCATGAGGACAGATGGTTTTCAGTGCAACTCTCGATTTGTAAACTTCCTAGTGGGATGGTGTTGGGTGGGACTATGTGGGAGAGGGGGGTATCTTCGGTGTAGCAGGTAGGCCCTTCACTGTCGCAAGCAAGAGACCAGAGTTCAGTTCCCTAGCAGGGAGAAATTTTTATTGATTATCTGGAGTCTGTCTGGCGGGATGTTGTATTCCTCTCCACCCAGTTTGGCCCTGACAGGCCCGCTTCCAGAATGATCTAAATTGTATGGATTGGAGGGTAAAAACACTTACATCTAAATTGTATGGATTGGAGGGTAAAAACACCTACATCTAAAGAAAAGAAAAGCAGATTTGCAAAATTTCCCGGTTGTCTCGTATGAAGAAGGAGCTATTGTTGAGAAACTGACCGTAAGCTTTGCTAACCATAGAGCCTTCCCCAGGAGACGTTCTCCGCGGGGCTGTCGGCCTTTGAGAAGGAAGGCATCCAGACCATCACCACCCTCAAGGACCAGCTGGTCTCCTCCCGCCACGAGCAGACGCCCGCCATCGAGGCGCGCTACAACGCCGTCATGGCGCGCTGGCAGAAGCTCCTGGCCGACGCCGAGGACCGCAAGCAGAAGCTGCTCCACTTACAGGACAAGTACCGGCAGATCGAGGACTTGTACCTGACCTTTGCCAAGAAGGCCTCGGCCTTCAACAGCTGGTTCGAGAACGCCGAGGAGGATCTCACCGACCCTGTGCGGTGTAACAGCGTGGAGGAGATCAAGGTGGGCCGCACACAGTTCATAGGTTAAGGTTAGAGAGGACATAGGTCAAGGTTACAGAGGTTAAGGTAGGGGTATTATTATGACATCGACCTGACTGTCTGGTGCGGTGTAACAACATGGATTAGGTCAAGGTTATAGAGCACATAGGTCAAGGTTATAGATATGTACTCTATAGGTCAAGGTTATAGACGTGTTATAGAGTACGTAGGTCAAGGTTATAGAGCACATAGGTCAATGTTATAGAGCACATAGGTCGAGGCAATAGAGTATGTAGGTCAAGGTTATAGAGCTCATAGATCAAGGTTATAGGTTACATAGGTCAAGGTTATAGATGTGTTATAGAGTACATAGGTCAAGGTTATAGATGTGTTATTGAGTAGGCCTACATAGGTCAAGGTTATAGAGTACATAGGTCAAGTTATAGATGTGTTATAGAGTACATAGGTCAAGGTTATAGATGTATTATTGAGTAGGCCTACATAGGTTAAGGTTATAGAGTACATAGGTCAAGTTATAGATGTGTTATAGAGTACATAGGTCAAGTTATAGATGTGTTATAGAGGACAAAAGTCAAGGTTTCCCCTCTATTTAGAGGCCCAAACGTGAACTTATCCCTGCCAAAGTTTTGTCTGGCATTCGTGCCTCATAAAACCGACCCAAGACAC